GCAACAACGATGGGACGAGTCGACTAAGGGACGATGGACCCACCAACTAGTCCCCGACCTGAAGAAGTGGCTCCAGAGAAGCCACGGAGAAGTGAACTTCTGGCTCACGCAGGTTCTCAGCGGCCACGGATGCTTTCGGAGTTACCTCTACAAATATGGACATGATGATGACCCAAGGTGCCCTGTTTGTGGGGAAGATGAGACGGCAGAGCATGTGGTCCTGGACTGCCCACGTTTTTCGGAGCCCAGGCGGAGACTCCTAGGGGAAGTAGCGACGGCGGACGACATCGGAAGGAGGCTACTGGACGACGCCCAGTTCTGGGCAGACATGAGTAGCTTCGCCGCCTATATGATGAAGGAGCTGAGAAGGCTAGAGCGACTCCGAGCGGAGGCTAGGCTAGCCTAGGCCAACAGTAGTGGGGCGCATAAGCACGCCAATCCTGGCCCTGCGAAGCAAAGCCTAGCGGCATTACCGCAGGGGACAGGGATTCAGTAGAAACTTTTTTTAACTTTTTATATTTTATATTTTTTATTTTTCTGTTAGAGCTTCGTTCTAAGTATTTCTTTATTAATAAACGATTAAAAAAAAAAAAAAAAAAAAAAAAAAAAACGGTCGTTGAGGCCACACATGGCTGGGTCCTCCTGGTTAGACTGTCGATGGCTGGCTCATCTGGGCGCAACCACAGAGCCGCGAGTGGCTGGGCCAATAATGACATGAATAAGAGCGCGCTTAAAGGCGCATGTGGCTGGATCCTCCTTGGCATGACTGGACATCCGCGGCGCGGGCTTGATAGAAATTCATGTCAGGCTCATACTTGGCTGGTTCATCAATGACATGATTCAGAGCGCGCTAAAAGGCACATGTGGCTGTATTCTTCATAGTTAGAAGCGATGGCAGGATCAAGCTTTCAGGTCAATCAAAGAAATTACAGGCATTACAAGAATTTCAAGGCAGGTGAGCCTGTAATGAGAGAGATTGTTAGACAAATTGCATTATGGCAGGACCACGCTATGGTGCATGAAGAACATTGCGCGTAAACATTAGAACGCAATTGGATCAGCGAAAGCTGATCAAAGATCGACTTAAAGGTCACATTATATAGGATTCATGGCTAGCTCATTGATCGACACGAACTATAAGGCTCCTATGGCTGGTGCATAGCTGATAGCCAAAACCTTGGCTGGGGCAAACTCGGCATGGGCTAGTGGGCCGAGTGTGGCAGATTCATACTTGGCATAAAGTATATGTGCCTAATATGGCTGGTGCAGATATGGGTGCCGCGCATGGCTGGGAAAACGTGGATTGGATCACCAATGGCTGACGCATCTGGGCACGGTCGGTATGGCCGCGCATGGCTGGGTCCTCCTGGCTAGGATCAACGATGGCTGGTTCATCTGGGCACGGTCGTTTGGAACACGCGTGTCTGGGTCATCCAACAGGTGGGACAAAAGTGGAAGGCACAACTGGGCACGGTTATTGCGGCCACGCATGGCTGGGTCCTCCTGGCTAGGATTGACGATGGCTGGCTCATCTGGGCACGGTCGCTAGGGCCGTGCGTGGCTGGGTTATCCAACAGTTGGGCCAAAAATGGCTGGCTCAACTGGGCACGGTTATTGTGGCCGCGCATGGCTAAGTCCTCCTGGCTAGGATTGTCGATCGCTGGCTCATCTGGGCCGGTCATTCGGGCCGCGCGTGGCGGGGTCATCCAACAGTTGGGCCTAAGGAATGGCAGGCACAACTGGGCACGGTTATTGCGGCCACGCATGGCTGGGTCCACCTGGCAATAATCGTCAATGGCTGGATCATCTGGGCACGAGCATTGGGGCCGCACGTGGCTGTGTCCTCCAGGATTGAATTGTTAATGGCTGGCTATCTGGGCACGGTCGTTTTGGGCCGCGCGTGGCTGGGTCCTGCATAGATGGGTCAACAGTGGCTGGTTCATCTGGGCACGGTCAATGGGGCCGCGCGTGGCTGGGTCCTTCGCAGACAAGACATAATGGCAGACTCATCTGGGCACGGTCGTAAGGGCCGCGCGTGGCTGGGTCCTCCGCAGACAAGTCGTTAGAGGCAGACTCATCTGGGCGCAGTCGTAAGCCGCACATGGCTGGGTCCACCGCTGACAAGTCAACAATGGCTGGTTCATCAGGGCGCAGTCTTTATGGTCACGCATGGCTGGGCCATCCTTGACAAGGGCTTGCAAGCCACGAGAAACAGACTCACAGAGCCAACCACAGAAAGCTGGGTCAGAGCGAGACGTTTAGGATCCTATAATGTAGAAGTCTACCCAGACGATTCAGTCTCTTATCATTCTCCAGGAGCTGTCTTTGCGTTTCTTTCTCAGAGTGGCGTAGAAGAGTCGGTGTTTTCGGTTGGACAGCCGTCAAATTTTGGTAAGCCTTGCGCTTCTCAATGATGTGATCTTTGACTTGTTTAGCATATCTGGGTCTGGACCTCGCGGTTCTAACTGGGATAAAGGTATTAATACCAAGATTACGTACAATAGGATTAGTATGCGTTAGAATTGAGGTAGAGAGCCTATTGCTTTGAGCGACGTATGATTCTTCTAAAGTCTTGAAGCCAAATTTTTGTTGGATGTCCACGTTTTTAGTGAACCTGGAGCACCCCAAGACCCTACGAACAATCAAGTTAGTGGCCGATTGAATTCTACGCACAGAGGAATCCGAAGCAAGGGAGGCCCAGACCGGCAGTGCATAGTTCCACAAAGGCATGACTAGCTGTTTAACAATGGTAGCTTTAGTCTGAGTAGGCAGAGAGCTGTGCCTACCGATAAGCCAGTCAAGTTTCTTTTCCCTGGCACGAATTTTAACACAAAGTTGTGTAATATGCTCGTTCATGCGTAGCTTCTTGTCCAAGGTAACACCCAAGTATTTATAGGATGAGGCTCGAGGAACACCATGATTTCCAATTCGTATTTGAGCAGGAGTCGCCGTTGCAATGGGGCGGCATTGAGTAAAATTAACACTGGCACATTTAGAGGCATTTATAATCAGACCCCACTTAGACGCCCATTTGGAGAACAGATTGAGGTAAATCTGGATAGAGTTATCTGCAGAATGCTGCGTCTTGCTAAAGCATAGGATTGCAGTATCGTCAGCATAGGTGCAGAGAATCATCTTTTTTGGATCATAATCATAATTTCTGTCAACAGGAGGCACACTGCTTGGAAGAGGCATGTCCGAGACAAAGATGGAGAATAGAATTGGGCCCAGAACACTGCCTTGAGGCACTCCAGCCTTGATGCTTCCTAATCTAGAGCGAATGCCATCAGCTCCTTAGACTGTGAAGGTCCGTTCATTTAAATAGTTATAGAGAATATTGAATAGCTGCCTTGGAAGCAATTTGAATAATTTGAGCAAAAGTCCAGTGTGCCACACTCTGTCAAATGCTTGGGAGAAGTCAATAAAGACTGCAGAGCAATGATTCTTATCTTCAAATGCCTTCAATATATGCTGTGTGACCCTAAATAATTGATGCTCACAACTATGGTGTTGTGACTGCGCCGATAGACGGGAGTCAATGATTAGCAGAAGTCTGCTATGGGGACTTTGCTGTTGCCGTTTTATAAAAACACAGGGTTGTATATGTCACTGAATTTAATTTGAATTGATTTTAGATATAACAAAATGTGTAATGTGTAATGGGTAAATGCAACAAAAAATGTGTGTTCAGTCGTAAGCTTAGAAGTCGTAAGGAAGAAGCCTAGAGATGTCCCGCTTTCCAAAGGGACCGGGGTCTCGAGATCGATAGCCACCAATCAGGTATCGATTGTAGGGTTGTGGTATGCACTAACAACGTAATGAACATTACGACAACGAAAATGACCGTACATGCCGCCCCGCAATGCTGGGTCCAGCATTAAGACATCCTTCTAATGGTAACTGAAAGAAACAGGTGAAATGTTTGCTGTGGTATGGATGTGAGATCAAATGCGTGTATCACTATTGTTCAAGATTAGCTTCCTCGACTTTAGCTTCCGTGTAATTCGGGATGGGTAATCTGCAGATCTTGGATACTGATCGCTTATATGTACCCGAACCTGTATAGATTGTTGCAACTCGTACCATCCCATCGGCTCCAGGGTGTAATTCTGTAACACGACCTAGTTTCCAATCGGTTGGACCTGTCCTGTCGTCCTTGATAATAACTAGGTCATTGACCTGCAGGTTTTCTTCCTCTTGTCTCCACTTAGGGCGTGCCTGAAGGTGAGACAACCAATCTGAGCTCCACCTTTTCCAGAACTGGCGTAGGATACGTTGTCCCTCCATGAACTGTGTGTTGAGCGACTTGTCCTTGTCACTGGGGGTAGGAAGCGATTGCATGGAGTCTCCGATGAGAAAATGAGCTGGAGTCAATACTTGCAGATCGTTAATATCCGCGGTTAACGGGCATAATGGCCGAGAGTTAAGACAGGCCTCTATCTGGATAAGAACGGTTGATAATTGTTCATAAGTCATTGGGTATCCTTTGAAGGAACGATGAAGATGATACTTTACGGCTTTGACGTTAGCCTCCCAAAGTCCTCCGAAGTTTGGGCTGTGTGGGGGGTTAAAGTGCCACTGAATATAGCGCTTTGTGAGTTCTGGGACGACTGTCTGGTTGATTTCCTGCCGGAACTCGTTAGACCACAACTGTAGGGATTTATCTGCTGCTATAAAATTTGTGCCGCAGTCACTGTACATGTGCCGCACAAAACCGCGGCGTCCAATGAACCGTTGGAGAGCCCAGAGAAAATGTTGTGCTGTGAGTCCTGTCACCAGCTCTGTTGTGTTCTTGTTGAGTTCTATTTCAGACTGACTTTATTGTATGCGAAGCTTATAGAGTTACCAGATCCTTAAAGTACTACATAAGTGTATTAGTGTATAGAATGGAGGAGTACAAAACAGATGTGAAAATTGACAATATATATAACACATCTCCTCCCTTAATTAAGAACGAATAGGATTTTTACGTTTTCGGAAATCCTTGGGCTTAAAACGATCTACTTCATGGCGAACACGACTACTTTGGCGAACTGGTATGCCGGATAAAAGTCGTGCTGGCTGTTTTTGCTTTTGTTGTTGGTTTGATGACGTGGAGCTCTCGGGTGGCTCAGGTTCAGAATGACGTTGCTGATCGGTTGACGGAGTTACTGGTTCATCTTCTTGTTGTTGTAATGGCTGATCATGTTGTTGTAGTGGATGATTTGAAGAGGGCGGAATATCTGGGATCCAAAAGAACTCTGGAGGTTTTTCGATGGAGCTGCTTGCTGAGAACTTCGGTTTTAGCTGGTTGAAATGGCGCTTGATATAACCATTTGTGGTGCGAACCAAGAAAACCATTTTTCCAATTGGACGGTCAATAGATCCTTCAACCCACTTTTCTCCCCTTGCATAATTACGAGCGTAGACCATTTGATTTGGGACGTACTTGGTAGCTGATAGCTTGGCTTCGACAGGCTGCTCGAAAAGTTGGCTTAGTACGGTTCGGACTGGACGACCATGGATTAACTCGGCGGGAGATTTTCCGTAGGAATTTGGAGTGAACCTGTAGGAAGCAAGGTATTTAGTAACTGCTGCTCGTAGTGGTATACCGTCTTTGAGGTTTTTCTTGACAGAGAATTTAAACGTCTGAACGAAACGCTCTGCTAATCCATTGGATGCTGGATGGAACGGTGCTGTGGTAATGTGTTTTATTCCATGAAGTTTGCAGAATTCCTCAAAGGCGTCAGCCGTAAGCTGCGGACCGTTGTCGCTGACCATGGTTTTTGGATATCCTTCGATGGCGAATATCGACGACAGTGCAGCGATCGTGTTGGATGTTGTAGTGGACGACATTTGAACTACAAATGGGAACTGCGAGTAAGCGTCTACACAGATTAGCCACATGGAGTCGAATATTGGGCCGGCGAAGTCGATATGGATTCGCTCCCACGCTGATGTAGCTGCAGGCCAACTTTGGTACTCTTTTGGAGGAGCAGGATTGTTGCACTTGCAGATGCTGCATGACTGTGTAAGGCTTTTAATGTCTGCGTCGATTGTAGGCCACCAAACATGTTGTCTCGCTAGCTGCTTCATTCGAACAATTCCCCAATGTCCTTCGTGTAACAGATTCAGGACACGCGCTTGAAGAGTTACTGGAATTACTACACGACTGGCATCTGTGTGTAGGCAAAGCAATTTTTTGTTGATTGTGAGGGCAAATTTTCGATTAAAGTATGGTGATAATGCTTCCTCGCCTTGCTGCAGTTTCTCTGGCCATCCTACAGTAACATACCGTAAGACTTGTTTGAGAAGTTTGTCCTTTTCGATGTGGTTGCGAATGATCTCAGAATTGATCGGTGGTGACAGTTCCATTTCGATGTGGCAGGCTTCTTCTTCTCTGTCGAAATCTGGATCCATGCCCACGGGAAGGCGCGATAGGGCATCTGCGTTGCCATGAGCAGATGTAGAACGATACTGTATCTCAAAAATATAGGCCATGAGAATGATGGCCCAGCGCTGTAGCCTGTTTGATGTCATTAAAGGCAGATGCTTGCCTGGATTGAAGATCGTTACTAGTGGCTTGTGATCCGTTATAAGGGTAAACTTTCGGCCGTACAAATATTGGTGAAAACGTTTAACTCCGAATATTATAGAAAGTCCCTCTTTTTCGATTTGGCTGTACTTAACCTGATGCTTGTCAAGCGTTTTGGATGCGAAAACAATAGGTCTCTCCTTGCCATCATGTTGGATATGTGAAAGGACTACACCAATACCAAAAGATGATGCATCCGTCGCTAGGACTAGTGGTAGATTTTCGTCGAAATGAGCTAGCTGCGTCGCGTTGATAATATGGGACTTCAGGGCTGTGAAAGCTTGTTGTTGTTGTGGCCCGAAAATGTATGCTACATTTTTTCTCCGAAGTTGGTTTAATGGTGCGGCCAACTGAGAATAGTTCGGAATAAAGTTGCAATAGTAATTAACTTTACCCATGAATGCCTCTAGTTGCTGCAGATTAGAAGGCGGACGCAACAGTTTAACAGCCTCCAAGCCTGAGCTGTCTGGAAGAATCCCTTGAGCGCTGATTCTTCGTCCTAGGTACTCAATCTCGTCCTTGAAAAAGAAGCATTTCTCCTTTTTGCATCTAATGCCATTCTCACGAAGAATACTGAGAACTTGGTCGATTCGCTTTAGATGTTGCTCGCTTGTAGGTGCTGAGATAATGATGTCATCTAAGTAGTTTCCACATCCTTCTACTCCTTTTAGAAGCTGTTCCAAATACCTTTGGAAGATCGCTGGTGCACTGGCAATTCCGTAGGGAAGGCGCTGGTATTGAAATAGGCCAAGGGGTGTGTTGACGACCATAATAGTTTTTGAATCCTCATCCAGTTCCATTTGAAGATAGGCATCCTTTAAATCTATTTTGCTGAATTGCTTGCCGTGACGTATTATGTGAAACAGAGACTCTTTTGTCGGTAACGGGTACTGTTCGACATCGATCTGCGCGTTGACTGCTTGCTTAAAATCGCCACATATGCGAATAGCGCCACCTGGTTTAGGTGCTAGTACAATTGGTGATGCCCAATTACTAAATTTGATCGGCTTCCAAATTCCAGCTTGTGTAAGTCTGTCTGCTTCAGCTCTGAATTTGTCCATCTGTGCGAATGGAATTTGACGGCTCTTGAAAAACTTTGGTGTTGCTGATGGCTTTAAAAAGACACTTGCTTTGAAGTCTTTTATGACACCCATGGCTGGTTCGAACACTTCGTTGTACTGGCTGCAAAGGTCACGTAATTCGTCTTCGTGCACCTCTTGAACGTTTGATACTTGCATGATATCAAAGCCGAAAATTTTAAATAAATCCATACCAAATAGATTGTTTGATGTCTCAATGTTCGCAACGATAATGACTACTTGCTTCTCTTTTTCACCGCACTTTGCAATTGTGTGCAACTCCCCAAGCAATGGTATTGGTGTATGACCAAACGCATGTAAAACTCGGGAACAATTGTGTAATTTTGGCTTATTCAACAGCGCGTATGTAGTGGCGTTGATCACGGACGCTGTGGCTCCGGAATCCATTTGAAATGATATAACTTTGCCGTGTATTTCAAGATCTATAAGAATCTTGTTCTGCTGACACTTGACTTGACCTGTAACACTGTTTACAGCTTCAATCGTTTCGATTTCGTTTGCTTCGGATTTGCGACTTTTTTGCATTTGCCATTTACTTTTGTCTTGCTTCGACATGCATACAACAGCTATATGTCCTTTTCTACCGCACTTGTGACATACGGCATCGCGAAACTTGCATTTCTCTCTGGCATGATTGTGTCCACAACCAGAGCATGATTTTAGCGAACTTTTGTTTGTTTTGGCATCACTTTCACCACCACCATGAAACGGTTTCTTTGTATAGGTGTGAACTGCGTTTATTGGGTCTTGCTTTGATACTGTTTCTTTGAGGGCTGCCACGGTTTTTGTTGTTGTCTCATAGGTTTCTGCAACTATAAGCACATCTTCAAGAGTTGGCTGGGACTTCTGAAGAGCAGATGCACGGACGGCATCGTATGGTGTATGTACTATGATCTGATCTCGAATCATTTCATTTACATAGTTAGAAGATGTAGTGTGCACCTCATTTCAAAACGAAAACAAATATATAGGCAGGCCATTATTTCTTTCCTTGACTGTATCCACCCAAAGATAAAAACTAACATATAGGTAGGCCAATTTTTCGTTCCTCGACTGTATCCACCCAACATATGGGAACAGAAATGCATATGCATGTGCCATTCCCACCCACACTTGCATAAACAGACCAGAGTAGGTAGAAAATCATACGATTACTCCGTTAGGTAGGGAAGTTTCATGGAAGCATGGGTATGCTGCAGCTCGTAGAAGTTCTTTGCATTTATTCTTTCCTGATCTTCGGCCGAGTAAGAAGTTTAAATCCGCATATTCCAAAAGTGATAGGAAAATTGGACAAACACGTGTGGTGATTAATTAAAGGAGGAAAACACTTGTGCAACGAAGGCATTCGGCCTAAAATAAAATTAAATACAATAGTTATTGATCGTGTTGGACTAAATTTACTAGGTGAGACAGTGTTTAAATAATTCCAATACGCCAACCTGACCAATTCTTTGTCAGGGGGCACAGTGTGCTACGATTCCGACCAGGTGCAGCCTGATAGGCTTTGCATTTGGATTTTGGCCATTGGATCGGGCGTAGGACGAGCCCCCAGTAGAACCCCCAGTAACCCCCCAACATGGAATAAATGGGACACCCTTAGCTTGGTGATCTTCGCATGGACCGCCGATAGAGTGACGTAACCAGCGACCGAGAAGCCCAAGTTAGCGTGCATTAGGGAGGATCAGGATGTGAGGAGAAATAAGAACATTCACAACAACAAATAACTGTTGCCGCTGCAGTTCAGTTTTGTTTATTTTTTTTTGTGCTTCAGCGTGCAGCCAGCCACTTGTGAGTGACAGTTTCTGTATTTTTTGACGAATTTCTTTTGTGAGCCTGAATAGACCACATGCCAGTATTACACAGTGCGAAAAACATGAACCTTGCCTGCGAGCATCTGTATATTTAATATATTCATATTTAATTGCAATATTTAATTGCACAAAAATATTTCCAAGGCGAACCTCGATAGCTGCGCCAAATTAGTATTGAATCCCACCCCCCAACTGAAATCATGTATAATTTTCTTTAATTTAATTCTTTAAATTCTTATTCTTAATTCTTTAAATTTTCTATATATTGCGTCAATGTAAACTCCAAGGAGAATGAAGTATTTAGCCTAGGACCTTATTTTAAGTAGTTTTCATAAGCAGACAAAATCAGAAATAGTGGTCAGGTATTTTCCCAATGTATTCTTTCTCTTTTTTTAATTAATAAACAGCAAAAAGCACCTCATCTTCTTGGGCCCAACGATCGATGCAGAGTCGGAAAAGCTGAGTGAGTAAACAAGTAATTGCCGAATTCGAATACAATGGGAAATCCATGCCATTTTCTTTTACTTTTCTATTTAAAATATTAATTTAAATTGTATTTTCCTTAAATTGTATTTTTCTTATAAATTGTATTTTTCTATGGATTATATTGCCTTATTTTTGATTATATCTAATTATATATAATGAACATGAGATAAATTCTTTTTATTTAGAGCACTTCGGGTCAAACATGGCAGTTGAATATGGGTAGACCCCCACTGTTTAGGGTAAAGTCTACATGGAAGGGAGGGTATAGACGAAGGACAATAACATCTAGTCTTTCATTCAATAGGGTCAGTAGTATAAACCACCCAAGGATCGGCCGACTCCTACCACTTTCCTTTTCCCACTTCCTTATCTCTGTCTACGACAAATTTCCGTAACGTACACAGTCTAGTTTGCCGTGCCCATACCCACGCCCCGTTCGACTGAGCCAAGCCGTCCCCCAAGTAGACAGAGGGGCGCGGTAGAGACCACCCGTGCAGTGTTAGGGACAGTTTACTGTACCTAACTTTAGGACTTACTGTACGCGTTCGTTACAGTTATTTATGGCGCCCAACGTTGAGGCAGGACAAAGGCAGGAATCCGTCAGGATAATGCCAAGCGAATGCCCAGAAAATTTTCCCTTTTCCTTTCTTTTGGCCACTTCCCAAATTTGATATTTAAAGTAGAGCAGCGCTTGTGTATGTAGACCAGTGGATTATTGTGACTCTGAGGATATCGGACACAGACCGTGGATATACAGTACGCAAGGAATACGGATTTCAATCGAATCCAAATCAAAAGGTGACTGGGACAGGCATAGGATTTTTAATATTGAGCCTAATTCGATTTTATACCATGTCAGTCTAGTTTCTTTTTCTTCTTCATTTGCGAAAACAAGAGTGAGATTGTCTATATTTGGTCCATATCGAAATAGTCCTCCTCTATTTCTCGTATATTTTTGTATTGCACTTAGTTTAAAATATATCTCTACTGCCCTAAAACTTACTAATCAATGCCATGAGAGAACCGAAGGTAAGCCTCTAAAAATTATTATCGATCATATTATTTACGTCTTGAATCTTGATTAAGATTATTATCGCCAATTTCCGTTATTATATCTTGCGTGAAGATGTCTGTTAGGAGAAGTACCGAAAACATAGCAGCCACTCCGTTGGAGAGTCAGGTGTTGTGTACCATTTGCAATGACACGAACCCTAGCGATAGTATTATGGAAACCCCATGTAAGCACAAGTTTCACAAAGCATGTCTGTTAGAATGGCTTGAAACAAACGATACCTGTCCAAATTGTAGGCAAAGCTGTCCGCGAGCTTTGATGATAGATAGACAATGTACTCCTTCTGAGCGTAGAATGCCAAGCAACTTACAAACTGACCAGGATTCTAACCCAAATCATTCCGGAGCCATTCCAAGATCTCGGATGAATACTAGATCACAGCTCTCTAACAACCCAACTACAAATAATCAGAGAACCAGAGCAGGTAGCTCGAACCCCAGACGCGAGACCGTACAGGATAGGATTTCTAGGGAACAAAACTCAATGCAAGAGGAACGTATTCAGCAAATTATATCCAGCTCAATGGAAAGCTATAGAGCAAGTATTACAGCCTCCATTGGAGACCAAATAACTACAGCGATTAGGAATTTGAATATATTCTCTCGAGACCCGCGAGAGGAACCCCAACTTGAATGGGATAACGAATTAGCACCTCCATTACCACGAGTCAGTAATTCTAGCAATGCGCGCAACAACAGCCAACGAGTTCGACCACCAAATAGCAGGTCAAGTGATATTTCACTAGAGCAACCAGATAGGATTTCTAACGTCATTTCCAATTGGCGTATAAAGTTCAGTGGTACGACCAACGACCTTCCAATCGAAGATTTTATTTACCGAGTCAACTGTTTAACTTCTCAGTGTCTTAATGGTAATTTTCCTTTGCTAAGTCAGTTTGCCCATCTTCTATTTGCTGGACCAGCACTCTCATTCTATTGGCGTATCCATAGAACATCCGAACACATGAATTGGTACGAATTGTGCAGTCACTTGCAGGAAAGATACCAGGATCAGAGATCAGACCGAGATATTAAAAATGCTATTAGACGCCGAAAGCAAGGAGCGAACGAGAGTTTTGATGAATTCCTTGACTCCATCTTATCAATATCCGATTCATTGCGCGAACCAATGTCAGATGGCGACATCGCTATCGAAGTTAGGAACAACCTAAGGTCAGACCTTAAACTAGAACTACTACATGTAGACACCCCAGATTTAGCTAGTCTGCGAAAGGAGTGCCATAGGCACGAAGAATTTTATCGTAGCTTTCGAATGCGGTCAACGACCCGACCCGTCATGCGTAAGAATTTTGTGGAAGCACTGAGTGCCCA